AGGAATTTGTTGTGGTTTTTTTAAGGTGCTCCTGGTACATACATACATACATATCTGACATGAGAACAGAAACATTTAAATAAGACTTAACAATAAATAATAATGTGTATGTGTCTGAAACAGAAGATTTATGTACAGATTTGTGCATTATTTACTCTATATATACAGCTGTATAAAAAATATGCATATGTATTTACATAGTACTTGAGAGAGAGGCAATAATTAGAGATGGAGAATGAATTACAGGCATGAATTACAGAACACAGGTAATAATTCCTGTGTTAGCTGTTTAGGCTGGAGATGGCATGGGGGAAAAAAACTGTTTTTATGCCTAGATGTTCTAGTGCACAGAGATCTGTAGTGTCTGCCTGAGGGGAGAAGTGCAAACAGGTTGTGTCCGGGGTGACAGGGGTCTTTGATGATGTTTCCTGCCTGTTTCTTCACTCTGGAGTTGTACAAGTCCAATGATCATTTCTGCTGTCCTAACAGTCCGCTGCAGTCTTCTTATATCTGATTTGCTGGCTGACCCAAACCAGACAGTTATAGAGGAGCACAGAACTGACTCAGTAACAGCTGAGTAAAACTGTGTCATATGCTCCAGCTCGTGTGTGTGTGTGTGTCGGTACCACAGCAGAGACAGACTGCTGTTCTGAGTCTGACTGTAGCTGTAGAGCGTGGGATAAGAGAAGAGCGGACAGTAGAGATACGCCACCTCCCCGTCATACACCCGCACCGAACCCTCGCTCCACACGCCCCAGTCATGACACTGAATGTCTGAAACACACAAACACAACACAAACAACCTCACAAACACATCTCCGTAATCTCATAGATTCAGAATTCCCAAAAATAGAAAGCTAGCAAACAAAAGTCAGAGATCTCAATATGAACATCAAATGATCTGAGCTGCTCTGTATTGATTCTATAGCTCTATACTGTTAATGCGTTTACCGATAATATTTATAGTAAAACTGTGGTTATATAAAAAAAATATAAAAAATACTACACCACGTTACTACACTTTTACTATAATAAAACCATGGTTCATTTTCTTAAGGGATTTGTATTTGTGTATTCTTTCTTTGTTTTGTTTTTTAACAGTACTGGTTTGATGTTTTGTACTGTTTAATAACAAAGAAATCAGAAAAAAAGATTGTGTTCCGAAGTTCCGATATGAATCAAATGATTCGTGACACACGCTCCGAAGTTCCGATCTGAATCAAATGATTCGCGATACACGATCCGAATGGAGTGCTTCAAAACAGTGAATCGTTTTGCGACACAATGGTTTAACTGATTCAGAGATTCTAAAAGCTTGGTTTATCCCATCACTACGTGCTTTTGAAAATCATTACAAGCGATGTCGAAACTGAATGATCAAAGTCACGATTTTGAATCAATCAGAGCAGTTCCAATCTAAATGACTCTCTCAATTGAATTGGTTTGTCTGTTCCTCCGCTTTTCACATCTTCAGCCATGTTTACACGACACTGTTAGTAAAAACACTTAAAAATTAAAAATTCAAATAAATGAAAAATAAAAACCAAAATTATTTAAATAAAATAAAAATATATAAAATGATAAAAATCAAAGCTAAGGTGATCTGTTTGAGTTTAAATGATTAATAATATATGACATAATAATTATATCAGAACATATACTAAAATTCTTAAAGGGGTCATATGATGCGATTTCAATTTTTCCTTTCTCTTTGGAGTGTTACAAGCTCTTGGTGCATAAATAAGATCTGTAAAGTTGCAAACACTAAAGTCTCAAAACCAAAGAGATATTCTTTATAAAAGTTAAGAGTCCGACTCGCGGTTGAGGTATTCGGCCAATCACAACGCATTGGATAGCTGGCCAATCACAGCATACCTCGCTTTTTCAGACCGATGAGCTTTGTAAAAATCGACGCGTTTCAGAAAGACGGGGCATAGAGGAGAATAATTAATGTACAGTATGTGGAAAATAATGTTTTTTTTTAACTTTAAACCGCATAAACACATTTCATTACACCAAATACACAAAATAATGTTCTTTTTAGAAGCATCATATGACCCCTTTAAACCTGAAAGTAAAAAAAAAAAAGAAAGCTATATAGAAATAAAAAAAAAATAATAATAAAATGATAAAAGTGTAACAAAATTACTAAAACTATAATAAAAACCAAAAACATAAAAATAAAATAAAATAAAATTACTAAAACTGAAATTTAAGTCAAATACAGCTATATAAAAAAAATGTAAAAAAAAAAAAAAATTGTTTAAAAAAAATAAATAAATAAAAGTGACATAAGAACACAAAAAATTAATAAAACTATAATTAAAATAAATTAAAATAAAAAATAAAAGCCAATTCAAGACATTTAAAACTACTATAGTAGCATATAAATAATGCTAAAAAATGCTGCATGCTTAATTTACACATGCTCACAGAAACACACTTATGAAAATGCAATTTCTGTAAAATAATGAAAGATAAGCTGATCTGTTTGGGTTTAAATGCTGATCCTGCGAATGTCAAAAAGTTTATTTAAATAAATTACCATCCCAAATCAATGACTGCATAAACCACACACACGCACACACACACGCACACAGATTCTCATTCATATCACACACACACAGACGGGCAGGTGATGTCAGGATCTGTCTGTGGGCCGGACGGAGCGGGCGGTGGGGGAGGACCGGCGGCATGTGTGTGTGTGTGTGTGTGTGTAATTGCTCTGTCACTTTGCGACTGGGAGGGGATTAGTCTTCCTATTAAGAGTGTCTTAGTGCGAGTGCTCACACACACCGCACGCCATTATAAATGACCCCCTTCTGGAACAATCCATTTCCTGTCCTGCAGCGGCAAGCGTTTTTAATTAACCTCTGCTTCCAGAGGTGCAACCGGCCCGTAATCCCATGGCCGCGCTAATATTATGACATATAACAGCACATGTGATACAGCTGCTGGATGAAACCTGAAAACAGCTGCTGTTGCTTTATTCATGTATCAATATGAGGTCTCTGCGCTATTTGGTTACTGCTGTAACTCGCTCGAATGTGTTCTAGATCATTAGACGTGACGTTAAGGTGCTCTGAGAGCCGGTGTCTTTAGGAGACGCTTTCATACATCACGTCGTCTGTCAAGTCATCGACTCACTGGGCAACACCTTCAGTTTGAGACGCAGCCTATAAAACACACCGGCTCAGAAGAAAACATCACTTCCTGTGCATCATTGAATTGCTTCTCGGTGGTTTGTAATCAGATTTTTAGATGTTTAACCTCATTTTGGAAGATTGCACAAAATTATTGTCTGCTTTTGAATGTTTAATGTTGTTTAAAAGGATTCTGTAAAAAGTCTTGATCATCTTTAAGCTTTCAGAAAAACTTTTCACTTGATTTGGTTTTATTTTTAATGAGGAAACCAATTCTCCATTAACATGCAACATGCATCTAGCGTTGTTATTGTTAATTAAAACTAAAAACTAAACTAAACTAAATTTTCAGTAATTTAAATAATGTAAAATATAAATATTTAATAATATAAATATGAGATGAAAAAATTTTGCCTAACCCCAAGTAATCTTAAATAAATATATTATATAAGCTATTTAGAAATATTAAAACAAAAAGCAAAAACGAATTAAAATGACAAAAGCACAAAACAAAATTACTAAAATGTTTTACTTTTTTTGGTTTTAAAATTAAAATAAACTGAAAATCCAAAAATAAAAGGAAATTCAAAATATGAAAAAATACTGCTATATTAATAATAATGGTAAAACAATACTGCATGCATGTTAACGTATTAAATTCAAGTATTAATTTAGTATCCTTGATATACTAGTATAATTTTTGCTAATATTTTGAATTAGATTTTATTTTTCTGTTTTGTTTTTACATTAATTTGAAAGTTTTAGTAATTTTTTGTACGTTTTTGTCATTTTCATTAGTTTATTTTAAATGTCTATATACATTTTATTTATTAGTTTTAGTTATTTTAGTACTTCAGGTTAAGCTAAATGAAAAAGATAAATGTTACCTTGGCTGAAATAAAATACGTTTTTTAATATTTTATTTTATTTCAGTTTGTTTATTTTTGTTTTGTTTTGTTTTTCTGGTTTTAGTTAACGAGCAAACAGCAATGAAAATAAAGTAACAAATTATAAAGCAAAAAAAACAAAAAAAAACTATAGAACTACAGTGACTATAAAACATCTGACCACATTGTTGCTCTGTGTCCTTCAAAATATGCAAAAAATCATCCATAGATAATCAAAGCTTAAAAATGAACTGGAAAACACCTATTTCCATCAGCCTTATAAACATTTACACCAGATTTATTCACTTGTTCTTATTTTTCTATTTTGCATCATTCAGCACAATTTCTGTAGATGCAGATGTTGATTCTGTGATTTAACACAAACCTCTGGAGACGCTCTTGCTCATTGGTGGGAAGATCTAATGTGAGGCTGCTGATTGGATCAATTATTCAAATGTGAGATCTGATTGGTTGCTGATAGATTAGGAGGATGGATATAGTCTCTGGGCAAGAGAGCAATAGAGGATTCATCCTTCACTGGTCACAGACCGTCCAATCACAGCCGCTTAATCAGACTCGACTCTCACCTGATTGGACGGTGGCTTGAGTGACAGATGCGGAGAAGCCGCCCATCTTTAAAACGCAGAGGCAGAGAAGTGTGAAGACCAACGGCATCCTGGACAGAGAGAGAGAGAGAAAATGAGTCTGTGTTCAATCGGCTGCCTACATTTAATCAGATGTTCACTCAGTTTATTATCAGATTCCATAAAACATTCCTGAAGGTGTTTTTACTACACGACAGCTTTAAGAGCGCTAGAGGAGGAGGAGAATTAATGGAATAAGTAAGAAAAGCAAGATGCATGTGTTAAAACACGAGTGCAGATTCAGATGTTTTCATGTAGTTAAAGTTTAAAAAATGACTGAATCATTCCTACAAATCATATCTAGTTGCAGTTAAAACTGAATTCACAATAATACTGCATTGAAAATATCAGTTTTACAAAACAAGTCAAATTTGAAGTCATAATCTTGCAATAATTAGCAAATGGGTTGTTGAGTCAAGGATTTGAACAGAACAGTACAATTTATGAATGAATCATTCAGAGTCAGAGTCAATTATGTGAACTGGAACAACAGATTCATTAAAAAATCACTTTCTTCAAACATATTTAAATGCATATTAAAATGCCATTCATTTAAAACACGCATTGTGTTGTTATTGTTTATTCCAACTAAAACTATTAAAATTATTGTCAGTAATTGCAATAAAGTTGAAATAAAATAAAAACTTGAAATAAAAACCTGAAAAACTGAAATTTAAGTTTAAAACGACTAGAACTGAAATAAAAAATAAAGCGATATAGATATAAAAACACAAAAACAATACAATTACATAAACTTAAACTAAAATAAAAATGAAAATGAAAACTGAAAATATAAAAATAAAACCTAAAGCTTTTGAGTTATATCTTTTCAATGAATGCATCGATTTCTTCAAACTTATTTAAATGCATATTAAAAATACATGTATTTAAAACATGCATCTAGTGTTGCTATTGTTAACTAAAACTATTTAAAATGGTTTTCAGTGATTAAAATAAAGTTACAATAAAATATAAATTAGATAAAAAACAAACTAAAATTTAAGTTCTAAAATTACTAAAACTGAAAAATAAATTAAAGTAAAAAATTTGTAAAAAGACAAAATTGCTAAAACTTTAATATTAAAATGAAAACTTAAAATATAAAAATAAAAGCAAAATTGTGAGTTGATTTCACATTTAAATGCATATTAAAAATGCATGTATTTAAACCAAAAGCTATATATACAGAAACTTTAGTTTATTATTCAGTTAAGATTTGTATTCAGTGTACAAAAGCTTGTGGGCAAATACTGAATAAATACTGTTTCTAAACAAGAACAAATGATCAACTGTAAGTGGCACTGTACATAAACATATGGAGCAGCAGCCTGATTGAATTTCAAATGTTAAAACCAAACCCTGCGCCCTTGAATGAATGAACCATCCTGTGCCAAGAGAGAGAGACTGAGAGAGAGAGAGAGAGAGAGAGAGACTG